GTTTTTAAGAGTTTTAGCCAAATGCATTATAATATAGTATAGATATTTTTTTTAAATAAATACTAATAATTATTTATTATTATTATACATTAACTAGAAGTTCTTTATTAATTTTAATTGTAACTTATTCTTAATATTAATTATTTAAAATAAGGGAAAAGTTTGAAAAAATCCTATAGCTTATTTTTTAATTACACGTTTGTATGGACATCACATTTTGATGAATATAAACTAGCTTATTTCATTTTGGGAGTTTATTTTCATTTTTCTTAATTATGACCCTCATTAATAATAATTATTATTTATTAACATTAATTATAAGAAAATAAATAAGAATAAGTATTAATATTACTAAATAATCGGTTAATTATTAATAAATATCAGTTAACAGGAATTAATATTAATTGAAAATTATTAATTAATATTAATTGTTAATAATATATCAATTATTTTTATATTATTATTTAATATATGAGTTATCAAAATACAAACATAAAGTAAGATTCATTTGATAAGTGGTAAATATTTGAGAAATGAATAAATGATCATAGCCCTTCATGTAACACCCTAAAATATGAGACAATTTAAATCGAAAACTTAATAGAAAGAGAGCTTAGTAAATATAAAAATCACTCAATAAAGGGGAAATAGTGCAAGAGTTTACATCAGAAGAATGGATGCTAGACAATAATCTACACTAATTCGAAATATAGATTACATCGGGTGTCGCTAAAATCTTCAAAAGAATTGCATCTAGTAACTCCATAATTGCACTCGAAGGTGCAAATCCAAAGATGCCTCTAGGCTCTATCGGCAAGAAGGCCCCAGTCATACCTTGAAAGCCCCACTGTTAAGAGAACATGATATAGATGTCATTTTAAAAAAGTGTTAGGCGTTAAACAATTATTAAATAAAGCCATAAAACTTTGAAATGAAAATTATAACTTCGATCACGTCGAATATACATTTTAACTCATACTTACCCTTGGAAGGGGGTAGAACATCTAGAGATGACGGGAGAGACCTAATTTACATCAACTGTAACGGAACACAAAAGCAAGTCATGATTCAATGTTATATAAGCCTCACTAACGAATAACCAATTATTAAGATCAACCCCGTTCCGGGTCTTATAGTTTAATGAATTGACAAGCTCAACTAATTAAGTTTCTTGCCTGTGGAGTTCCCAACATCAACCGTATAGGCCCTTACCTAGAGAACTCCATAATTCTAGTTAAGCTAATTCACTTAGAATTTACATTATATGGTCATTGGTCGATGCGCGACTTCAAAGATCCATGTCATGTTGCCTATTAAGACTCAATGCCTATTTCAAGTTACAATTAGGAACACATCCCAACATATTCGTCAAAACCGACTTCTATACTTATGGACCCATTGCATTCTAGCCATAAATATGTATATCTATTTAGATATATTATGTTTTACCCAAATAGGGATAATCTTGTACACAAATTCCTATCAAGTAGTAAAATCTCATTTTATTAATAAAATCTCAAATATAAG